GGGCTGCAGCCCGCACCGCAGCCCGCCGTTCCCCTTGCACCAGGAGAGCCTCCCCCTCCGTAAAGACCAACGCTTGTCCACGGACGCAGGGGAAGGAGCCCAAGGAACTCCTGCCGCACACTGCGTGGGCTGTCATTAGCTTAAGCCATAATTAATTTCCCATACCCCTCTCTCGCACACGCACGTTACACAGGCACACGCTGGCTCGGTGCAAAAAAAGCCGGGTTGGCAGCGGGTTAACGCGGGTGGGCACCTCCTCTGACAGAGTCCTGCGCAGGAGCCCGCAGCTGCCGGCCGGGCCAGCCTGGGCTGGGTTTGCTTGGGAGCGCTCAGGCCTGAAGCCCGCTCACTCACAGCATCGGCAGCTCCCCGCTCCTTCCAAACCAACCCTGGCTATGGTGAGGATGATCTGTTCTCCAAATCCAGTCTGTGTGCCAGCCCACGTATCTGCATCACTCACCTGGGACAGGCATGGGACTCAGCGCAGCGATAATATACACGGGGCACCGTTCTCAGCTGCCCAACAGATACACACCAACCACTTTTTAATCACGATAAAAAGAGCACAAACCCTTCTATCACACAGGGCTTCAGTTCTGCCACAGAGAAACAGCCGAGCGTGTTTTACCTCTGCAGCTTTATTCTCGTACAAAAGGTTAAAGGCAAAGCTAAAAAAGAGAACCTATTGCTACACGCTCGCTGAACACTTCTCAGACAAGATAGGGCAGTAAAGCTTTTATTGCTAAGAACCACCAACGGAAGGCTTCAAAGCTCATCTAGCATTTAATTTGTGTTTGTAAGTAACCCAATTTAAAGCAGCTTTTCAGTCTTTAAAACCTTCTCGCCTTCCTGGAATGCTTCAGAAGAAGATGACCTGAGGACGGTGTCTGGTCTCCAGAGGGACCAGACGGATACTCTGCGTGAGGTGCAGAAATGGGCCACCGATGAATGCCACAACAAAACCCAGCTGCCCAGCTGGGGACTCCTGCTGCTGACAAGGCAAAGCTGCACAGTGCTCACGGAGCCAGCACCCTGCAACGCGCAAAAGCAGCGCTCACCTGACGGCCCCGCAGCTGTCCCCATGCCCTGGTAGCTGTGGCACAGACGGACACCATGGACTTGCCCCAAGCAGAGCCAGGAGCTGAGCCCGGGCATGGCGACTGTGAATGTCCTGCTCCAGCTACCAGACTGCGCTTCCTCCTGGAGCGGTGAGGCTACGGGCAGTGGGATACTGAACTGTCCTGGGATCTCCAGGGATCCCCCAGGGATGCAACAGATCAGGGCTGGTCACCCTTCCCGAGGGACGGCCGGTGCAGCCACAACGGCTTTGCAGGGCTTGCTGCAGTCCGAGTGCCCCAAGCAGAGCCAGGAGCTGAGCCCGGGCATGGCGACTGTGAATGTCCTGCTCCAGCTACCAGACTGCGCTTCCTCCTGGAGCGGTGAGGCTACAGGCAGTGGGATACTGAACTGTCCTGGGATCTCCAGGGATCCCCCAGGGATGCAACAGATCAGGGCTGGTCACCCTTCCCGAGGGGGGGCCGGCCCAGCCACAACGGCTTTGCAGGGCTTGCTGCAGTCAGCGCTGCTCCTGGGGACGGCGGCTGCCCTAGTCTTCGGGGATCGGGGTGTTGCAGTTCCCGTGGTAAATTTTGACCTCGCCCTCACACTGGAAGTACTGGTCGAACACGTCACTGTAGCCATGGTCCCTCCACCACGTGCAAAGCTGCCGGTTCCATGTGCAGTCGAGCACGTGGAAGAGCTCTGGGTGCTCCATCCCCACCATGGTGAAGAAATCCTGGTCCCCGAGGTGGCCCTTGAAGTGGTACTTCTCTGTCAGCTTCTGCACCATGGCAGGCTCCAGCAGCTGGTTGTAAAGCTTGGATTGCCTCATGGCTTCCAGGTTCAGGAGCAGGACGCCACTGTTGAAGCCGGGCAGCCCATCGGGAGGGGGTTCCCCCACTTTGGTTTGGGGGTTCTCGCGGCGATACTGCCAGAATGTGTGCCTGGAAACAGAGGAAAAGCACAGGAGTCAGTGAGCGCAGCCTGAAGAGCAGCCACGTTAAGTGTTAAGTCCGGGCAGGTCTGGATCACAGCACAGGATCCATCACCCACCCAAGGGACCTCACAGTGCTTGTCTTCTGCTGGCTGGAGGCACCCAGCCTCCCAGAGCAGCTCAGGGGCTGCAGCTCTCCCCATCGCCCTGCACAGGATATTGCCCTCACTTCAAACCACTCTTCTTGCTCTCTCCTAAAGCCCCTTTTGTTTCCACCAGCGTTGCTCTGGTGAGCCAACCGGACAGAGGATGGTGTGACTGCTCACACAGCTGTGCGGGGAGACAAAACCACATCCCCAGTGCCTCGGGCGAACCCCTAGAAGTGACCCCATGGCTGGTACACACCAGGAAAATGTCCTGCAGTTAATGGGACCTCAGCAGCACAGCTTGCATCACCATCATCACTATTATTTGATCATGGGGAAGCTCCGGATCAAAGGCAGGCCCCAGTTTGAGGCTGTGCAAAAAGAAGGCTTGAAATAAACCCGAGTGGCAGAAATATTCCTTCAAAATAAAAATAAAAAAAGAAACCCAATGGCTACTTCTCATTAGCTAAACAAGCACTGCCTTCGGCATCTGCAGCCCTAGGAAGGCTCAGCTGTAGCAGCTCTGGCAGACGCGATCTTCACCAGCTAATTTCCAGCTGCCAAGCAGGAGAGAGGGGTGCAAGTCCAGCACTATACAAAACTAACTTCAGAGAGTGATTCAAATGGAAAAAAATTAGACTGAAGCAAGCTGCCCAAAAATGCTTTTGGCTCCTTCCTCAGCCCTGGGGCGGTGAGCACACCCCACCACACACACAGCAGCTGCTCCTGCTCGCAGGAACTGAATTCATCCCATGCTACTACCCAAGCAGCTGGGGTTGAATCCTCCCCAACAGATCGCTCCCATTCAGGTGGAAAGGCTCCTGTCCCCAGGCCGCACCCCCTCTGCAAAGCTGGGCAGCTGAGAGCTGGCTGGGACTGGGGCTTGCAGGAGGGCACGAGGGACTGGCAGCCCCCAGCCCACCGCCCGACAGCCCAGGCTGCCAGCAGCACCGCGCTCTCCTTCCAGCCTTCACACTTACAGCAAAGCTACAGCAGGTTTGTTCGCACCTTGCTGCGAAGATGTTGGAGAGAAACACTGTTAGAAAGAATAAGCCAGGCCTGCCACTGGTTCCTCTCCCCATCTGTCAGACACCGAGCAAAGTCTCCATGTACCTCCACATAACGAGAATTTTTTGGTAGATGGTGTGGATTTAGCACCCAGAGGTTTAAAGTGGTGCCATGCTTGGAAGCTGAAGGTGGGCTCATTCAGATGTCAGAAGATGCAGGGACCCTAGCTCCTGGGACAGTACTCTGCCACTGCAAACATTTAAACTGGAATTTTTCTTGTAAGAAGCTGAGTTCAGCTCCAACGGGCACTTGCTCAGGAATCCGACGGCTTGTACAGAGATCAGACTATTACATCCATCCCTCTGGCCTGTCCTCTGGATCCCCAGCACAGCACTGTGAGACTGGCCAAGGCAAGAGCCAGGATTCCACAGCCACCAGCAGAACTGTCCCAGCAGAAAACATGGATCTAGTCATAATGTCAACCGCAAGCACCTTTTTTATTTCCTGATCCGGACAACCAGACCACCACGCAGAATCACCTCCTTACAACTTCCCATTTAGATGCTTCAGAGTCAAACCTCTGATTCTTTCTCATTTCATTAAGGGTCTTCACACCACTCCCTTTTGCCTGATTCGGGATGGAAAGGGTTTTTCCCAGCACCAGATTCCCATGGAAGGAAGGCTCAGTTTTCGAGCAGCCGCCTCCACAGCTCCTGCGGCAGGGCAGGAGGGCTGGCTGCCTCATCGGAGCCCACGGGCAGCAGCGCTCCTTTGATCTAAAGGACAGGGAAGGGATAAAAGGGCTCTGAGCCTACAAAGAGCAGTTATGTCTAGAGGACAGGCACCAGGTCACCGCAAAGACGACTCATGGATGCTCTGGGAGAAGAAAGGCAACATGCTCTCGATGCGGCGATGGAGGAAAGGTCAACCTGCAAAGACAAGACCCAGCTTTGCACCGATCAGCCTCCCAAGGTGCTCAGGTCCAGGGGGCTGCGCAGAGGCTGGCTCAAGCCCAGCTCTGCACCCTCTGCTCTCTCTACTTCTCCCTAGCAGCGCCAGCAAAGCGATCACCATGCCCAAAAGATGATGCTGGAAAGTGGCAGGAGGGCGAGGGGGAGCAGTGGCATGGAGGGAGGCACCTTTCCAGCTCCACAGCAGCAGAGCTGACTCCTTTCATGTTCTTACCTCTGAAAACACGCTGTGCAAGCTGAGACATGAGATTACAGCCCCTGCAAGCAGATAGAATAGGGAAAATGCAAGTGCCCAAGCGCTTGGCATTGCCAAGCTGCGGCGGGGCGAAAGCAGATCTGTACCAAACGACTCCATTTTTGATCAACGCCGTTCCCCAGTGGATTACTCATTGATGGCTGATAACGAGAAGGGAGCAACGTGCCCCTTCCCACAGGGAGAGGAGACAGAGCAGCAAGCAGCAACTGTTCAGCCCTTCCTCCTGGTGCTGGCGTGTCGGGGCCATCCTCCCTCGGCCATGTGTGGGGGGGCTGCAGGGGCACGGGCCATCCCTGGGGAGCGATTCTGGGGCGAGACCCAGGACATGATGAGCTGCAGGCAGCTCTGCAGCGCCGACAGCTCAGGAACCTGCTCGCGGCACCGTGCTGCAGCGCTCCCAGAGCCAGGCTCAGGCCAACCGAGGGAAAGGTATTCTGGCAGGGCTGCTGGCAGCATCTGTTTAGCCTGGATTTCGCTCTGCTTTTGTCCTTCTAACGGAGGCTTTTGGCTCTCTGCTTCTGCAGGGGCCAGGACAGAGAAGAACGTGGCTGAAAGGCACCTCCATCCAGCTGGAAGTGGAAGGAGCAGTGGGTACGACAGCATCACTTTCTTTGGAAGAGGCAGGGATGGAGAAGCACAGCTGACACGGCCTGCGCCCCGCGCCGCTTTGTCCTGCCTGACATCACCCCTTGGCACCTGGCTTAAATTTTGGCAAAACATGGGGGGAAGATCACAAGGGCTTGACGAGTGTGCTGCCAGGATCTGGGGAGGGGCTGGGCTGCCGGCAGTGCAGCTCCCCCCCAGGACAAACACTTTCCATTATGGAACCGGAACTCTGGTTGGATGCAATGCAAACGCCTCCCTGTCCCAAGCTGCTGGAGCAGCCGGCATCTGCCTTGGGACAGGCGGGTCAGGCAGGGGAGCGTGGCCCCCGCGCTTG